AGAGATTATATATATATATTAGTATATATGTTTCATTATCTATATGAATCATTTTTGGTTCTTCTGTGTATGTTCATTTTTCAGATTTTAATCTTTAGATATATAACAGATTTTTTTTGATTTGATATATGTTCTTTTTAGCTTCTTTTTTAAACTTTTTTGTTTTTGGGTTTTTTCCATTGGGCCTTGGTTTTTTTTTTTTAATATGTTTCCTTTTTTTTGGGTTTTATTGTTTTGTTGGTTTCTGTTTTGCAAGATATTATTTTTTAATAATTTTTATTTTCCTGGTTTTGGTTCCTTTGAATTTGCCATTCTGCCCCAATTTCCCTTTGGGTTTTTTCAGAATTTCTTAAACATTTTCCCTCACTTTATAATCTTATTTCTTTATTAATTCAATGGTTTTGCCTTTCCTTTATGCTTTTCCTTGTAATTTTAATTTTTTTTTTTTTTATTTTTCTCCCACTCTTTCTTGGGATAATGCTAATTGTTTGAGAAGTCAATATTAAATATTGTTTTATGAGTCTCTTCCGGTATAAACAAGTCTTCTATGCTCCCTTCCTTTGCAGAAGATGCAACATTAAATTACTTCTTTCTATGAGATTGGTTGTTTTCTTTCTTTGGGATGAAGTTTTCTCATTTTTTCTTCAAGTGAAGAATTTGGCTATCACTTGTAAGTGTTCAGTGTACAGATGCATTCTCAGTTAGTTGTACATCTTTAGCTGTCCTCATATTTATTATTATTTAATTATGTGATAATTGATCACATTATAATCTGGCTAATAACTAGGTGCACATGTTGGTATTTTGTTTACCTCTCTTTTATCTAAAGAAAGTATTATGTAATTTTATTCGTTGGTGGACAGAAAATTTCTTAGCTCTTTACCATATTTCATTAACGGTTGTTTGTCCTGTTTCTGAAATATCCCTAGGATAGGTATATGATTTCCTGCTCTGACTAAATACCTCATATTATAAGATCTATCATTCTTGTTACTTTATCATTTGCTTTGTAGCTGGTTATTTTCAATATTTTGTTTCCTGCCTCTTACTTCTTTAGGGTCATTACTCCCTATCACATAGATTGACCTTATCTTACTTCATTTCTTAAAATAACTAAAGAATAAAAAGACTACTGGAACAGACAAAATTAACACAAACTTCTAAAATATGGCGATCCACTCCTGCATTGAAGATTACAACATTTAACAAACCAATGCTTGCTAACTGAGTGGATACCAGAAGAATGGAAAACAGCTGAAGTTGTATCAATATTTCAGGTAAGAGATCGAAAAAATCTAGAGATCTACAGAGGTATTAGCTTGTTTAATTCAACATATAAGGTATAAGCCAGAATTATAAACAAAAGACTCCTAAAAAAAAGACTTGCATGTGGACAAAGAACAAACTGGTTTTTGAAAGAATAGGTCAACTCCTGACAATGTATTTCGTCTATAGCAAACCATGAAGAAACGAAGAAAATTCAATCCACAAATGCATATGGCATTTATTGATTTCGTTAAATAATGTCGTCTTTGATAATGTTGATACAAGAAAACTTTGGGGCATTGTGGAAAATTATGGCTATCCTTGTAATCTCATAGAAACAATTAAAAGCATGTATAATAATTCAAAAATAATTATTAAGACAGATTGCATAAAGGCAGAAGAATTTTAATTAACAAAGGTGTTCAATAAGGATGTTCAGCACCACAAATACTTTTTAACTATTATGTAAATGATATATTTCTGAGATGGATACAGAATATTAGAACAGGAATAAAATCGACTAAGAAAAATATTTTAAAACTTCTACTTTATGCAAATGGTGCTATCATAATTCAAGAAACTGAAAAGGATCTACAATATGCCTTGAATTACTAAAACCAGCTCTGCAACTCTTACAATCTAACAAATCTCAAAAGATAAAACCAAAATATTAGCATTTTGGGAAAAATATATTATACACATTGTAAGCTAAGAACAGTTTTGATTTTAATTACTGAGGATATGACACAGAAGAACAAAAGGACATTGATAAAAAAATTGTGTGATTTCAATCCATCTGTGGGACCATACACACAACTCTCTCTTAAAAACAAGGCCCAAAAAGATACTAGAATAAAATTTTATAAAACATTAGCTCTCCCAATATTGCTTTATGGCAGTGAGTATTAGGTTCTAACGCAGAAAAGAGTAAGCAAAATTCAGAACTCAGAGATGAGGTTCCTTCGATGATCAAAAGGTAGCATCTTAGATGGCCAGATAAGAAATAAAGAAATCAGATGAGAATTGAATGTGAATAGTGTAAATAATATAATGGAAATAAATAGGAAAAAGTGGCTGTAGCACTTAGAAAGAATGCAAGAGACAAGATTGCCAAGATTAGCATATGCTTACAAACTGAGAGGGAAAAGAGATATGGGAAGACTGAAAAAAAGATGGATTCAGTGGAGAGGAAACAGGTGTAAGCCAAACCTGTGAAGTGTAGAAGAGGAAGTACTACATATCTAGATGTTACTACATATCTATATTAGGGCTCAAGATGCAAAACCTGCTACAAGTAAGAGAACCAGTCAGATATAATTTTTATACTTCATGTTAAAATTAAGAATTAATCATAAAACAAACTAAAGAAGAAGCAGCAAAAATGGAATTTTATACAAGGTATTTTAGGGTTTAAAACAAGTGGTGCTACAGAATGGCACCAACTTTCTCAATCTAGTTAGTTTCCTAATCTCTTTAGTCTGGGCTAGCTTTTTGATTTTGCCCCATTCTTTTGCCAGCTGCCATCAATGAGTACCTAAAATACATTTTTTTTCACATTTTCTCATTTTTTCTGTTGTTTAATAGAATTGCAATACGATTTTAAGAATATTATAGAAGAGTAAAATATGTGTTTTTATTCTCATTTCCATTGCAAAATTTGGAACCTTTGTCAAGAAAATGTCATTTGAGCATTTCTAAAAATGCACAATTTTGAGCTCATTTTCCTTATGTCTGGTCTCCCAAAATATATGGTAGTGTAGTGCACATAAGTGTGTGTAAGTAAGGGGGGAGGATAGGACAAGGAAGAGAAAGGGAAGGTCACACAAAGTGTGTGGCCCATTTGTTAGGGCACTGCTCTGGCATTCGCCCGGTGTTGATTGGAGAAACCATGGCAAACTATGAATCAGAGCATCTAGCTAGAATTATCCTTCACACAGCGGCTGAATTCGACGTAGCTCTGTAGATAGAGTCAAAAACCCTGCTACCAACTTTTGACCTCCTGGTTAGAGCCCTGATTCAAACTTTAGGACCTCCTGGTTAGAGCCATTGCAGTGACATCAATTGATGCCCTAAACCATAATTGTTTTACAATATATCAAATAATTGAAGAAAAAAAAAAAGATCAGAAAATTTGGCTTACCTTTCTCACATCTAAGAAGAAGAATTCCATGTGCTTCTACCAC